GGGAGCGCTGCTGCGCTCCCAGCACCGCACTCTCCCGAGTGCGCCATGGGCTCGGCCCCCTCGTATTAATCTTTTACATCACAAAAACAGAGCCATAAGAAAACTAAGAGACATTACAAAGAAAAATGTACTTCAGCCCAACACCTCTGATGTTCATGTATATATTTAAGAATGGGGGCTGGTCAGTTAGCTCAGTTGGTTAGAGCATGGTGTTATAACACCAGCATCAAGGTTTTGGATCCTTGTATCAGCCAGCTGCCAAAAAAAAAGTTATAATAAATTTTGAATTATAAAGGTATCATATTCATATAACATTCGTAATTGTAAATTTAATCACTACATATTATTTTGAGTTAAATTATTATAATTTACCTTTCTCACATAATTTTCTAAGGTAAATGTTGGAAATATCTTCATAAGGCACAAGTTTATTCTACTTATTTCACAATCCAGTTTAGGATCACATATTGATTATGTACATATATCACAAAAATAAAAGTTGGTTGATGCCAACAGGCATGTGTGTAATGATTGCTTTATATATAAAAACCTGATGATGCAGAGGAAGAGGTATGTAATGTTCTGGTCAAAAAGGCCTTTCCTGCTGGCCAAAATTCAAAACAATAGTTTCAAGTACAATGATGATAAGTAAGATATATAATGATCAAAAACTAAGCCTATAAAGTGAAAAAAGTAGTATATAAAATTGCATACACTGTGTAAAATCAAATAATTTTTAAAACCCTATATTAAGAGAAGATTGGAAAGAAAATCACTAAAACATTAAAAATTACTAGGATTAGGTGGTCATAATAGGAGTAATACTTTTCTTTTTACCTGCTATTTTCAAATTTTTCATTAATTAGCCTGCATTGCTTTTTATCATAAAAAGTACTCATTTGATAAATTTTATATGAAATAGTGATAAGTAAGTTATACACATTGTTTTTATGTATTCTCTAAAGTAGAAGTCTATTATGAATGAAATTATTTCATTTTAAGTAAATGTCTTTAAGTTGCCACTAATTTCACCTTTGAGGAATGTTTTTTTTTTTTTCTGATAAAAAATACAATTCCTCTTACTACCTTCTGAGAACTTCTTTCATCCTCATCTTCAGATGGATCTGACTGATGTTTCGGACTGTCCATTCGAAGGAATGTTCTGACATCTGGACTAAAAACAAAAATGAACTTTATTATGACTTCAAAATCAAAACAGAAGTAACTATATTAGCATTTACAGTAAGAAATCCAAACAAAATCTGTTAATATTCATTATTATAAAAGGAATATGCAAATTAATTTTAAAAATAAGGAACCCAAAAGACAAATGGGCAAAGGTATAAGCAGTTCATAGATGAAGAAACCCAAATGGCAAGCAAATCTGTGAAAATGCTTAACTTCATTAATAACCAGAGAGGTAAAAACTAAAGTGATAATAAGATACCACTTTACTGTCCATTAACTGGCAAAAGTTAGAAAGATAGATAATACCAAAGGTTGGTAAGGATATAGGGAAAGAGGCATCCTCACATACTGCTAGGGAGAATGTAGAATAAGGCAACTTTTCTGAAAGACAATCTGGCAATATTTGGTGTAACTGTGTATGCATTTTCCCAGGGCCCAGAAATTCCAGTTCTAGGGATAAACCATAGAAACAATCATATACAGGTCCAGTGAAAGGCATGAAACTGGAAGCTCATTCTCTACAGTAGTGAATTAGAAGCTAAGCAGGCATCTACCACCAGAGAAATGAGTAAGTCAACTATGGTAACTGCCTACAGAGAATACTGGTCAGCAGCCAGAAACAAGGAACTATATAGCATAGTACCATTTATGTATATATATTAAATACTGTAACTCACAGACACAAAGCAACCATCAGTCTAAATTTTCCAAAGATACATAGATACCCAAGGACATATATCAAACATATTAAAGTGGGTATCAACAGGAGGGATGAATAAATGTGTATAAAGATAAAAGAGAAAGAGAAAAAAAAGACTAAAATTAAAGAGGAGCCATGAATAGACTAATAACATCCTGAAGAATGATTAAATCTCTATACCTGGTACCTCCTCCCCAAACTGTTCTTAATAATTCAATACAAATAATATAGATTCATCTTAAGAAATTCAAAAGATGAACATTTATTTTTTAAAATGGGAAGGCTGGTGTGAATATAAAATGGCACAGTTGCTGTGAAAAACAATTTGGCAGTTCCTTGAAAAGTTAAACACAGAATTACCATATAACCTAGCAATTCCACTCCTACATATATACCCAAGGAAAATAAAAACATATGTTCACACAAAAACTCATACATGAATACTCACAGCAGTATTATTCATAATTGGGGGGAAACACCCCAAATGTCCATCAACTGATGAATAGATGAACAAAATGTGGTATATCACTGCAATGGAATTTTTTTTTTTTTTTTTTTTTTGGTGGCTGGCTGGTATGGGGATCCATACCTGTGACCTCAGTGTAATAAGGCTGCACACAATGGAGCATTATTCAGCCATAAAAAGGAATGAAATATTGATACACACTACAACATGGATGAACCTCAAAAACATTATGCTAAATAAACAAAGGCAAAAAATAGGTTACACATTGTATGATTTTATTTTAAATGAAATGTCCACAAGGCAAATCCATAGAGACAGAAAGTAAATTAGTGGTTGCCAAGGTTTGGGGAGAAGAGAGAATATGGAGGTACCCTTTCTTTTTTTGGGGTGATGAAAATATTAAACTTGAGGTGACAGGATTAGATAGTAATGATGGTTATACACCATTGTGAATATACTAAAAACCACTGAGTTGCATACTTTAAAATAGTTAAATTGTAAATTTTATCTCAATAAAAAAGTTTTTAAAAGGTGGAGTAGAGATCTTCAATCTTACCACACAGAGGAAACCACATTTTGGTATATTTTATTTCAGTCTTCTTCTCTGCACAATTAAGATCATGCTATATTTAAATTTTTTCTTACTGTTTCTCACTTAAAAATTACATCATAAGTATTTCTCCATGTTGTTAAAAAACTCTGTAAACAATTACTTTCAAAAGATGTATGATGTTCCATAATACAGATGCACTAAAACTTCTTCAATGATTCTTCCACTTTAGGAAATATAGATGGCTTCAACTTTTTACTATACAACTTTCACTACTATAAATAAGGGTATAATTG